AACTGTAGGTGAAATGCTATTGACTCACGTATATCTTTCGTGTGCATTGGGACATAGTTGATCTAGAAATCTAATATTTTTCTTAAACTTTTAAAAATGAAAGTAAGTCAAAGTATAATTATAACAGCATTCATTACAAGGAATTTTATATTTTGCAAAGAAATATTTTTAAATAATTTTAATAATTGCTAAAGTCCACAAATGTCCTTTTTGAGTTCACAAACCATATTTTTCATTCAAAAACCTTGAAATTTTTGAATTACTCCATTTAAACATCTTTACATTCATATGATATTGTAAAGATCTTTACTTAATCTATGAGTTATTATTTATTTTAATTCAAAAGTCTTATAATTTTATCTTATAGAAAGAAACTCACAAATTTAAGTTTAAATCTCTGTATATATTATATTATATCTATATTTTTTTTCAATATGAGACTGAGAACATTACAATTTTTTTACCTTTAAAGCTTGATATCTCTTGTCAAGTTAAGTTTAACCATAAAACCAAGATCACACTGAACGTTGGGATTCTAAATGTGGGTCTCACCGTATAACACTTAATGATTCACACAATGTAGCATTTAGTTCTCATCAACTGGTGACCGTTCTAATACCCCTTATAGAGACCCGCACTTAACCTGTGAGAAATTATTCATTTTTACATGAAGATCCCACAATTTTATCCCATAAAAGGCACATCATATATTTGGGTTTAGATTTTTACATATATATCATATCATATACATACATTCTTTTAATGTGAGATTAGGGGCGTTATAATCTCTCTACCTTTAAAGGTTGATATCTCTTGTCAAGCTGAGTCCAACCATATGACAAGATCACACCAAACATTAGGATTCTAGAGGTAGCTCCCCACCATATAGCATTTAGTGACTCCCACGACCTCACCGTGTAGCATTTAATGACTCTCATGATAGAGCATTTAGTTTTCACTGGCTGGTAATCACTCTAATACTATTTATAGAGACCCACACCTAACTTATGAGGTATTATTCGTTTTAACCCAAAGGTTTCTCGATTTTATCCCACAAAGAGTGTTTCATAGATTTAGGTTTAGATTTCTACATATATATCATATCATATCCACATATTCTTTTAATATGGGATTGGAACGTTACAATCTCTCCACCTTTAAAGCTTGACATTCTTTGTTAAGCCGAGTCTAACCACAGGACTAAGATCACACTAGATGTTGAGATTCTAGAGGTGGTTCTCCATCATGTAGCACTTAACGACTCTCACGATATAACACTTAGTTTTCATCGACTAGTGACCGTTTTGATACATTTATGAAGACCCTCACCTAACCTGTAAGATATTGTCGGCTTTTACTTGAATGTCTCATGATTTTATCTTACAAAAAATGTCTCATAGATTTAGGTTTAGATATCTATATATATATATATTATATATATATTATATCATATCCATACATTTTTTCAATGTGAGATTAAGGGTGTTACAGATATAACTTTAAAACAAAATGCAAAACCAATATAATAAGTAAACTCTCGAGAATGATTCTTTACAATCAATTCTTTTTTTTTTTTTTTAACTTAAAGCTTTTGATCACAAATCCTACTTTAATCCTTTTTATCTGGGGCATATGGATCCCTTTTTATCTTGCAAACTCATTAACAACCAATTGGTTTATAATGATGTGAGAATTTAACTAGATCTCACACATAATTATGCAACATAGAAAAATTTTATTTTATAATAGGCTTGAATGCTACTTTTTACAACAAAAGTATATATTAAATTTGTTACAAACACTTTTTGTAACATGGTGTAGCATTACATAAACTTTTGTTGCTAATTTTCAAATTCTTGTTGTCATTGTTGAATTCTTGGACTCCACATTAGGTATAGAATTGAAGTCTCTAGCACTAACACTTTTTTTCTTTTAAATTTTGGCATGGATACATTGAGAATGATTTATCTTGTTACTAGTAAAGTTGATCCAAATTAAAAGAAAAAATTGTCTAATTAGTCCAAACTTGATTCAATTCAATTAAATTTTTAAAAAAATAAAAAATTTAACTTGTTCAATCCAAATCCAAAATGAATCAAATTTGAGTGTTCTCAAACTAATTTGAAACAACTCAATTTTAAATTAATTTAAATTTAAAAAGCCAACAATTTGAGTCTAAAATGACTTGAAACAAATGATCCAAGCATTAAAGTTGAACCATAAAATGATCTAAATCTCCTTTAATTTGAATTGGCTTGCTTAATTGCCTCTTATTTCCTCTGTTAAACTAGAAAAAGAAAGAGAAAAAGAATGTATTGTTAAGGATTATGACAGCTTTAATATCACTTGTTGGGTAAAAAAGTTCTAATCCAATCACACAAGTTGAAGCATAATCAAACAAACAATCAATCATACAAGAGATAATAATTTAACATGGTTCAGCCTAATAGACCTACGTCTACGAATGAGAAAAAAGATCCATTAGTTGTAGAGAATTACAAACATATAATCCATATCAAGCACTTACAATTGATACTCATAAACCCTTTCAATCTTTTATATCTTATGAAGTATTCTGAACCTAAACAAACACATACCCATATACACTAATACACCATACTTATGTGAACCCTTTCAATCTGCTCTAGTTCACTCACAAATATTCAAATATATATACTTATAAGATGTAAATCTCCAGTAGTCTTATAGGTTGTCTATCTCATAAAACCTTATAACTCTTTTATATTTTTTTCTCATATCTAACCCTATAGAGACTTCACATATTTATAAGCATACAAACTTGCCTATTAAGAATCCATTTCCTATTAGAATTCTTCTTTTACAAATCAAACTTGCTCATTAAGAATATTTTTTCTCTTAGAATTCTTTTTCTACGAGTCTTTTTATCCATAAAGTAATATTTAGCCAATCCCAAATAGATTTTTTGTGGAATTTGAGTCATTATTCTCAACAATCTCCACCTTGACTCAAATTTCATCAAATCATATATTTTCATACTAGACATGATTAGCTCCACATACAATGAAAATCTCATAATCATCTTTTCTTATGTATCTTCACGTTTCATGTAAATTAATCATCAATCTTTAAAACATAAACTCAAACTCTTTTTTTGAATCAAGCTCCTCTGGGCTTACCTATTTACATATCTCGAATCATACTCTGATACCATTGTTAAAGATCATGACGGCTCTAATACCACTTGTTGGGTAAAAAAGTCCTAATCTAATAACACCAGCATAATCAAATATAGTGTGGTTTGGCCCAATCGACTTATGTTCACGGATGAGAAAAAAGATCTACTAGTTGTAGAGAATTACAAACATACAATTCATATCAAGCAATCACAATTAATACTCATATACCCTCTCAATCTCTTTTAATCTTATGGAGTATTCTCAACTTAAATAAATACATACCTATATACACTCATGCACCATACGTATGTAGATCATCTTAGTCTCCTCTAGTTCACTCACAAACATTTAAATATACACAACCATAAAACAAAAATCTCCATTAGTCTTATAAGGTATCTATCTCATAAAATTCTACAATTCTCTTATATTTTTTTCTTATACATAACCCTATGGAGACTTAACTTATTTATAAGTATATAAACTTACCTATTAAGAATCGTTTTCCTCTTAGAATTCTTTTTTTACAAGTTAAACTTATCTATTAAGAATCATTTTTTTTAGAATTCTTTTTCTGCAAGTATTTTTGTTCATTAAGCAATATTTAACCGATTCTAAATAAATTCTTATGGGATTTAAGTTACTATTCTCAACACGTATAAAATCAAGAACTGTTAGAAGAATCTCAAATTTATAATTAGTTTTGAAATGATTTAGCCAAAAACCTAAAAGACATGAGTTTCTACAATTTAAACTTCAATGCTAATAAGAAATCTAATTAAATACTTAAGATACAACAAATTGTGGGATAAATAAAGAAAGCTACTTAAAATCAGCATCATAGACACAAGTGATTAAGCTAAAAAAAAGGTCAAATTCTTACCGTGTATGAAAGGTAATCCTAACAAACAATGTTAACTACGCCTTAATTAGTCGGTTACTTCTAAGGAATTGCACTTAATACTTTTTGCAAACTGTAATGGATGTTTTGTCCTGGATGCTTAACAGTGCAACAATTAAGGTAAGGGAAAGTGAAATATAATCAAAACTAAGTGCAAAATAAATGGTTTTAACTCACTTTGTGCTTTACTTTACGTACATCATGGTGTTCTCAAAGGTCCATCCAAACACACCCTAAAGTTATTTTCCTAATGATGGAATCCTTCTTTTCTTTCAATGTAATTGCAATATTTTTCAATCAAACTCATTCTGTGTCCTGAGCGAATTCTTTTTGTTGGATTTATTCTTTGATATCCAAAATGAAAAAAACCAAAAAACGAAAATGTAACGAGTAACGTCGTTATAACCAAGACAATGGTGGGAAAGTTCCGTTTGGCATGTTTTGCGTTTAGCCTACTTAATTTGCTGCCATGGAAATTACTGCATTCCAGTGTATTCACCATCGGCATATATAGTTGTCATACGTGATTAACGAGTTTTCAATGTCAACAAAAACCTTAAAGTATTTTCATACGAAAAATTTTAATAAAATGTATAGGGTATCTAATCCGAATATTTAATTTAATGATAAGTGAATGAGTTTGAGTTTGAATCTCTTTTTTTTAAATAAGCAAAAAGTTAATTAACCAGATGCGTATTATTTCAAAGTATGGTTCGTGGTTTAATTTATTTCATTGATAGTTAAAGGAAAGTAGCTAAAGCATAGCCTTTATTTTTCTTTTTCTGAAATGATACTGAAACTTCATTGCAACGACAAAATAAAGGGCTTAGTCCACAGTGGGGACACGCTAAACACGATGTCCATTTCGAAAAGTCAGGTAAATATAAATGTGTTTTCGACTTTCGAGTGTTGAGCGATGTAACTGCCGATTGCTCGCAAAATCGAACGACGCCAGATCGAGACGCTCCTGCAATTATGTATAGCTGGAAAATAAAAAAAAAAAAGGCTCTATTTAAAGTGAATTCTATAATCTGTCGGAGGAAAACTGCAAGATTGAAGAATTAAGTGGTGCTGTTGACCAAACGGAGTTTATGTTACCGAAAATGAAGCACTTTCATGTCGTTTTGAAAAGCTTGGCTAGTCGAAGCAAAAAAATTGGATCGTCGCAGAGGAATAAGAAGCATCGGGTATTTTACACAACCTTATTTATTCTATCTTCTTTTAACTTCATTATCACTGCCACGATGAATTTCGTATTTTTTATGAGAAAAACTAATATTGTGCATTTAAATTGTGTTATCCAACCCCTTTTCATGAAATTCCTCTGATATATCGTGAATGATGACAATGGCAAATGACTTGTTCATCTTCTACTTTGTCTGGTTGAATTTGATTAATTGAAAACTTTCTTTGAAGTTTGAATAATGGAAAGTTTTTAATCCTCAATCAAAAGAATATCTTATGATTGAATATCTCTCGCAAATAAAGCATCATCAACATTATTCATTATTCACCTTTATAATGATCCCTGTAATCCTGTAATCAACCACAAACTGAGGAGTTGTTATTAAGCAAGCCATCATGATAGCATTGGTTTCGATTTGGCCTGGTCACCCGCAACTGAGTAGACATAAAGCAAAATCATTCTCTCCATCGCCCCCACCCCTGTTAAGTGTTTACTAACCATTACCTTCAAACGGATCAAAAAAAAAAAAAAAAAAACCTAGCCTTCCAAATCCAAACATAATTTTAAATATAGTTCCAAACTTTATGTATCAAAAACTATGATTCCTGAATTTAATTATATTCTTTTTTTATGTTTTTATTAATTTTGTTTTATATTCAATTTTTTTTCTTACTTTTACTCTATTCATTATTAAAAAAAAAAATACAACAACATCGATGAAGCTTATTAGTAAAAGAAATTTTACATAAGGGTTAATACCTTAAATTGCCCATGAACAATTGTACTTTTTTTAATGTAATACTTAAATTAAAATTTTTTAAATCAATATCTAAATTTCATTTTTATTTATTAAATTATTTTAACCACTAACACCTTTAAAATAAATATTCATATGACAGTTTACATTGATGTGAACGATAAGTGATTACCATGTGGCAGTGATGTTCTGTCACATGTCATATTTTAAAATATAAAAATATAATAGAATATGTGACAATCATATTATTTTCATATGATAGTTATATATCATTTATATTAGTGTTGATTACACATTAACATTTATTTTAGCAATGTTCGGGATTGGGGTTAGTTAATATAGAAACATGAAATTAGGTACCAATTTAGAAATTTTTTTAGTTTAAGTATTATATTAAAAAAAGTACAATAGTTCATAGGTTATTTAAGGTATTATCCTTTTACATAATTTTAAGTCCTGATGTCTTTCTATGATTTATATCATATATATAATAAGGATTTATTTATGTCGGTATAAGTATTATACATTTTTTTATTTTTAAATTAAAATAATAAAATGTAAGTGTTATGTATTTAATTTTGGTCCAAAAGTCAAAAAAATGTATAGCTCATATATTAGTATAATTGAATCTTTATTCATATATATATATATATATATCAACTTATATAGTATAAAATTAAAAAAGTCTTACACATTTTTTTAACCATTAATTTTAACAAATCAAAGAGATAAGATTAAGGTTTTTTTTTATGTTTGATTGTTTTTCTCATCTTTTGAATTTATTAAAATTAATAATTAAAAATATTTAAAATTAAAAAAATTATTCACTGTATAAATTATATATATAGATACTCACATAGACTATAAAATTAATCATTTTTCTCTCTAAACGGCAACATTGCTCGATCGCCAGTGCGATCCACCTAAATATTACCTGTAAACTTAATTTAATTTTGTTTCTTTAATCAGAACTTAGAATAGTTTACAAATGTATAGTTTGCACATTTATAAAACATCCATATTTATCTATGAGAGGAGATTCAACAAATGATTTCTTGATTTTAGTGATAAAAACTGCAATGTCATTTAATAAATATTTTCTTAACTTATATCTTTTAAGAACATAAATTATAAAATTATATATTAATCCTAGCAAAATGTGAGCAAAGTAAAAGTGTCAAATGGTTAAATTTGAGTTTGAATTAGACCATTTCAGGTTAAAATTGGCTTCTAACTTGCAAGTTCTCCTCTTATTATTAAAATCTTTCCCTGCCTTTCAAAAAAAAGGAAAATCATTTACAACTCTGTGTAATATCACACCTTTTTATATACAAACACACTAACTTAGATAGACCATTTGATTTTCAGGGAAGGAAAATGAAAAGATTAAATGCAACTATGAGACGACTAAAAGTGGAGACAAATGAGATAAGAAAGGAGCAGGAAAATATAAAAAGGGGGCAGATGGAAGTTAGAGGGAAGTTTGAAGCCATTCAATTTGAATGTGAGCAATTGCGGAAGGAGACTGACCTTATAACAAAGCAAAGTCTCAACACCCAACTTCGGCTTGCGCTAATGTTTCAAATCTTAAGAGCACGAGAAACTAATGATCTCAGCAAAGCTGCAACCCTCACTCAAGTTCTTCGGTAAGCTTTTATGATCATTTCTTTATTCTTCTTTTTTCCCCCTCTTTCTACATTTAAGCAATGGTAATTCCATACCAAAATCAACATATATAGATTGTCATTTTTTGTAACTATGCCTAGAATCTTTGATTATTCCAAAATATACGATAGTTATTAATCTATTAAAGAGAAACGTTGAGCCTATTTATGTTTTGCGAGTAAATGACACCTTACATCTATAATTTTTATCATTATTTTATTTTTATTTGTAACTTTTAAAACTCAACTTTGGAATTCATGATCTTTTAAAATAATTACAAATTCATCCATTTTTATGCCACCTTAGAATTATGTGGACATTCATGTAGACGTTCATATGGTAAAAAAGTGCATCAATTTGATTTTTTAATTGAAATTTATGTGAATGTGGACATTCACGTGATAATGACGTGACATATTTTATTAAATTTTTAATGGTGGTTCAAGAAATATAAGGGTTTGAAATATTTTAAAAATGTCATGAATAAAACAAAATGAAATATTACATAAATATCTAGATGATTAATAAATTTTACTCTACGTTTAGCACTGTAAAAAAAAAGAGAGAAAAAACAATTTACAATTTTGATTTAAACTTCTTAATCATATAGTTAACGATTTTGTTTTTCTTTCTCTATTTTTCTTATTGCAGTGCACTGATACCAAAACAAAATAATAAGTAACGAGAGCTTGTGGTAATTTTAATTTTTTTAGATCTTGGTTTGGTTTGAAGAATGAAGCAAAGATTGCTGTACTACTTTTGCATTTTGTTTTGTTAACAGTGTTATGTGTGTAATACATTCTGAAGCTTATTATATCATTTATTATATGGACTCTTTTTTTTTTTTTCAAACTCTTTGATAAAAATATGGTTAAATATTTAATTTAAGATTAAATTTATAAGGTGTCGGTTATTTATTCCAAATCAAAATATAACATTTTTTCCGATGTGTCAAATGAAGATTGTTTGAGATAGAATTGAGAGTGAAGTGCACGTGAGTTAACTCTTTTAATTGTAACGACTGCCAAAAAATTATTACAGCTGGCAAAAAATTAAACTTGGCATCTGACTCATAAAAGAAAAAACAAACAAACTTTAAATGAAATTTTTTAATTTTTTTCCATATTTTCTTTTATTTTAATATCCAAATAAACCTTCAAATTTTATTAAAAAATGCAAACAAGCTTTTATTTTTTATTACATAAAATTAAGATTATAAACTTTTATTTCATAACAATTATACCCATTAAATCTTAAAAATAGATGAATGACGTCTATTGACAAGATTTTTAAAATAGCGTTTCTTAAATATTTGTAATTCAATTCATTCAAAGAAATCTAAGTTTTTTTTACAAATTAAATCATCCGGCCAAAAAAAATTTTACAAAATTTGAATATATATTTTATATTATCAAGATTCTACTTATAATAAAATAAAAGTTCATAACTTTAATTTCATGCAATAAAATTTCAATAATTTATTTTTAATTTTGAATCTGTATATAATCTACATAAAGTTAAAGTTCAAAAAATTTCAAAAAGCTAATGGGACCGTGGCCTCCTTCACCATTTATTCATCTTTACAAGCTATTTTTAATTCAAGGAAGAAAGGTTAGAATTTGAACCCTTTAAATATGAGATTTATACATTTATCATTAAGTCAAAGAATCAAATTCTTAAATTTAGGATACATAGTTCATAGTAGATTAGATTATAAAATAAAATAATATGATTTCATGATTTTATCCTATTTCATATTTGATGCATGCAATATCAAAAAATATATAACCTAAGATAAGGTTTATTCTAATGTCATGTGTGATTATATATATATATATATATATATGTATATTTATATGTGTACATGTCAAAACATGTTTGAGCTATAATGAGAGGTAACTCTTTGACTCTCTTTCTTATTAAAACCTAATTTGTGTTATAAAATATTTTTAAAATATAAAAATATAATTAAGAAATTAATTTAATCAAATGGAAACATAATTAAGCTATAACATCACTTAATGTAAAGTTCTAAAGATTAAAGATATGATTATAGACTTAAAAGAATCATATAAAAAGACTATATAAGAAAATAATCGTTTGCCTTAGACTTTCATGAGGAGCAATAGATTGCCAACAGCATGGAGTTGACTATTTTGGCAAACAAAAGCTAAACTTAGATTCTATATAAATAGCAGTCGACTGTCAGCTTAAAGCAATCAATTGCTATATCTAAAAAGTGAGCGAAACTGATTTTGAACCCTAATGGAATTGACTTTCATTGGATGATATTTTTCTAGGAATTGATCTATGCTATAAGAATCATATAAAAAGACTATATAAGAAAATAATTGTTTGCCTTAGACTTTCATGAGGAGCAATAGATTGCCAACAGTATGGAGTTGACTATTTTGGCAAACAAAAGCTAAACTTAGATTTTATATAAATAGCAGTCGACTATCAGCTTAAAGCAATCAATTGCTATATATAAAAAGTGAGCGAAACTGATTTTGAACCCTAATGGAATTGACTTTCGTTGGATGATATTTTTCTAGGAATTGATCTATGCTATAAGTAGTCAACTGTTATTAAAAAGGAGTTGACTGCCCTATAAGAGGTCGACAATGGAACCTTTTTGAAAATTGAAAAGAGTTGACTACAACATGAATTAATCGACTGCTCAAGTGTAAAATTCATTTTGTATGATACAAGGAGTCAAATGCTTTATAGAAAAGTTGACTACTCTATTATGAGAGCATTCTATAAATTAGAATTACAAAGAGGTAGTATATTGTCTTCTTGGAGCAATTTATTGCTTTGCGAGAAAAGTTATAATTTTCAAAAAAGTGAAAAATAGTTTCTTTTTGTATGAAAAGTTTGATTATTCAAATGAACAAATATTTCTGAAATCTTTCAAATTTATAATAAAAAAAAAGTGATCTTTAATTGAAAAAATACAATTAAAGAGTCACAACCTTAGGATTCAATCTCTATTTATAAAGATTAATGTATGTTCATTTGACGTCCAACTCAATTCTGAATTACTCTTTTCTTTTTATCATTCCTTTCTCAATTAAAGGCAAGTTACTTTGTTATTGTTTACTATAGAAAACTTTGTAAAAGACAAGATATTTATGTTCTTACCAAAAAGTGTTTAGTGATTTGTTATACTAGTGCAAAGTATAAACAAACAAGATTTTATTGTATCTTGAAGGTATTTTTGTTAACCTATTTTGCATATCATAACTAGTTTGGATTAAATAAACCTTAAGGAAAGTGGCATTTGTAGCAAACCTTGAAGTCATTTCATTGGTTTTTAAAGGTCCATAATTGCTCAACTTTAACTATTTAACAAGAAAGCTCAAGAAGTTAACAAGTTGTCAAGATATTCAAAAATCCCAAGTTGTTTTCTTATAGCCTTGTATCATTATTTTTCTAACAATCTTAAGGTTTATTTTCAAGTAATATAGCTAAGTTCAATTACATTAAGAAGATCACAACCAACTTCCAAATCTTAGAACAATTCGATGGAGGCAATTTCCTAAAGTGGCAATGCATACCATCCTAACCATATTGAAGATTGTAAATGTTCTTACTACTCTAAGATCATAAAAGAGAGAGGATGAGACTTGCAAGAGGCAAAAGTAAGAGAATGATGACTATACATGCATGGTCTACATACTAAAAGGTATGTTCGATTCTCTATGTGATATCTACATTACATGCATATTGGCCAAAAAAGTATGAGTTAAATTAGACATAAGGTGCGTGAAAAAAGATACTATATCCAAGAAGTTTCTAGTTTCAAGATGGAACATGTATAAGATAACTGATTCAAAATTGGTCATAGATCAATTTTTTAAAATTAAGACTATCTTGAATAAGTTCAAATAATATAAGATAAAGATGGATGAAACAATTATTGTATTTTTTATAATTGACAAACTTCCCTCATCATGGAAGGACTTCAAGAAAACATTGAAGCATAAAAAAAAAAATGTTAATTTTAAAGAACTTACAAGTGATCTTCATTTAGAAGAACAATATTGCAAGGAAATGACAGAAAAATAAGTTAGTTCTTTTAAGGTCAATGTAGTAGAAGATATCAAGCTATCTACATCTATAAGAACTTTCACCAAAGGCCAAAAAGTTCAAAAAAAAAAAGGTGCATATTTCCATTGTGGGAAGTATGATCACTTCAAGAAAGATTGCTTTGCAATTAAAAAGAAAAAAAAAACACCTAAAGCAATTAAAGACAATTTTGTTGCTACAATTTCTGAAATCCATGTCATAAAAGACAAGAAGGCATGACGGATTGATTTCAATGCCATAAAGCATGTCTGCACTAACAAAACCTTATTTAAAACTTTTGAAGAGGAAAAATGTAAGGTACTATACATAAAAAATTCTCATAACTAAAGGCAAAGATAGATGATCAATTGATTTGGAGTTTACATTTGATAAAATATAATAATTACTAATGTGTTGTATGTTCCAAAAGTTAGGAAAAATCTTATATTCACTAGCTTGCTTAATAAGCATGGTTTTAAGTTACTATTTAAATGAGACAAGTATATCTTATCTAAGGGTGACATATTTGTGAGAAAAAGTTATACTTATAATGGCATGTTTAAACTCAATGTATGCTCTATTATGATTAATAATAAGAATAATTATTTTGCTTACTTGCTTGTTTCTTTTAATCTTTGGCATTATAGATTAACATATGTTTGTTATAATAGAATAAATACAATGTTTAAATCAAATTTAATTCTAAGTGTTAACAACAATAATGAAAAATTTAGAACATACATGTTAACTAAGATAACTAGAAAACATTTTCATAAAATTTAAAAAAAATCTAAAATCCAAGAATTAATACATAGTGATGTGTGTAATTTACATTGTACTTTTTCAAGAAGTGGTAAAAGGTACTTTGTAACTTTCGTTAATAATTACTCAAGATATTGCTATGTTTATTTAATGCATTCTAAAGATGAAGAATTGGATAAATTTAAAACTTATAAAAAGAAGTAGCATTGCATTATAATTCTACAATTATGACTTTAAGAACTAATAGGAAAGGTGAATATTTTAATTTTAACTTTTTTAATCTAATGAAATTAGTCATGAGGTGACTGCATCTTATAGTCCATAACAAATGGTGTGATTGAAAAAAAAAAGTAGATTATTAACCAAAATGGTTAATGCATTCTTATCTTAGTCCAGTTTAAGACAAGATTTTTAGGGTAAGGCACTGTTAACTTCATGTCATATCCAAAACAAGGTTCCTAACAAAAGGAACAAGTTAACTCATATGAACTATGAAAAAAAAAAGTCATATCTAAATTATTTTATGGTATAAAGTAGTAAAGCAATAGTAAGGGTTTTCGAACCTAAAAGAAAGAAATAAGGTGAAAAGAGAATTTAATGTATATTTATTGGCTACGCTCAACATAATAACGTATATTGATTCAGGGTGATAGAACCAAATAATTTAATATCTATTAATATGGTAATTGAATCTAAATATGTTGTCTTTGATAAATATAGATTCAAATTAGAATCTAATTCAAAAGAAAATTTTCTAGATAGCTCAAAAGAGCAAGAAAAGTAAATTTCCATTGAAAAAAAGATAACATTGTACCTAGAACAAGTAAAAGAGTAGGAAAAGTTAAAACTTTTGATCTAGATTCTTACATGTTTCTAGTTGAAGGAATAAGAGAAACAATCAAACATATTGAATATATTTTCAATATGGAATCAAATCTTAGGATATTTGAAAAGGCAATGAAGTTTCA